ATAAGCTTTCGTGGGTAAAAACCTCACTTCTTCAGATGCATAGATGCATGTCTCTATGCATCTGAAGAAGTGAGGTTTTTACCCACGAAAGCTTATGCCCAAATAAATCTGTGCCACCAGACTCCTTTCTTGTTTTTGTAGATACAGACTAACACGGCTACCCCCTGATACTCAAGCACTACAGTGACGCCAATCATTCCTCTCCAGCAGAACTCCAAGAGTGGTGATGATTAACTGCTCCTCTCCAAAGACCCTCACCTCCCTTCCTGCAGGGATCCATACTATTCCTTCTTCTTTTCAATATCTTCCAGACAACCGGCGGAGATAGTGAGGTGTCATGGGCTCAGCTGTGAACTATATAGCTCATTCTCATCTGATGCAATCACCACCACTATTATGATAACACAATGCCAGCAAGTCATCAGCTCTTGGGTGAAGAGCAGCTGGCTCAAGCTGAACCAAGGCAAGACCAATGTGATCCTAGTTGGAGAAGGAAAATGCTTTGAATGCTAGCCAAGACACTGTTTCCACCTTCCACTCATAGCATACTACCCCCATTTACCAAATTAGTGTCAAGCCTCAGGATTCAGTTTGACTTTTCACTAAGCGTGGATGACCTGATAGCATCAGTATCTAAAACTACCTTCTTTTACTTCCAGCTTGCAATGAAATGTGGCTCTTTCCTTGAGGATAAGGACTTGGCCACAGTGATCCATGCACTTGTCTCCTTCAGGATGGATTACTGTAATTTACCGTATCTGAAGCAGAATGTGGAAACAATGCATAAGCTCCAGCTGATACATAATACAGCTGCACAACTACTCCACAGGGTAGGCCATCATGAGTACATCAGGACTATGATCAAATCCCTCCACTGGCTCCCAAACAGTTTCTGATATCAGTTTAGTGCTTTGGTCCTAATCCTCAAAGCAGTTAATGTAGCTGGGGCCTGATCTATTAAAGACTGAATTTTGACCTATTATAATAACTGATGCGACAGTGGCACTGCTCTGGAACAAGGTAGATCACAAAGGCCAGGACACAGTGCATAAGAGTTGAGGAGATATGGCTACTGAATAGAGATTCAGAGGAGATTAGGCAAATCCAGAGTCTGATTGTCTTTAGGAAATGCTGCAAAACCTTCCTCTTTGAAAAGGTCTTTCCACAATATGACATTCACAACACTGAACCACCCTCTTCTACGAAAAAAAGGTAAGTTAATAAAGTTTAAACAATCAGAACCACAAACCCTACCCCTAGTAGAGATTTTACCTTGAAAAGGAAAAAGTGATAAAGACTCCATGAAGTCCACTACAGATTTTGGTATTGCTAATGATTTTACACAGATGGTGCTCAGATATATTACTCCTGGGGGAATTCTGCGCCACTGCGCATGTGCAGAATTCATGTCCCCCCTGCTCATTTTTTTCTCTGCAGAATCTAGATTCCGGTGAAGAGGTGCTGCAGTTACACTTTTCATTCACCAGGGGTTGCTGTGGCGCCAGAAGAGAAAGCAGACAGCCGGAGAGGCTGCATTCCCCACAGCAGGGCCAGGTGAGGAGGCTCCGGACAGACAGAGTGGGGCACACAGAGCTGCTAGGCAGTCACAGACTGGGATTTAGAAGGGCTAGTGGGGGGGAGGGGAGCAACTCAGGAGCTAGTGGAGTGACAATGTTGAGCCAAGGGCTGAATGGAAGGTGGGCTGCACAGCCACAAGGGGACAGGGGGTATAGGGCTGCAGGGCCATATGGGGATGGGTGAGGGACGCTGCAGGACACATGTGGCAGGGGGTAGGGGAGTGTAGAGACACAAAGGGATACGGGGTGCAGGGACACACAGGGACAGGGGCAGATGTACCTGACTGAATAGCAGAAGCTAGGGGTCAGCCAGGGTCTGCATGGGGGAAGCTCCCCAGTTGCCTAACAATTCCTCCCCCACCCAAAAAAAACCTTTTCCATACTTCTCTCACCCACACCCAACAACCCTCCGGGTTCACGCCCAGGCTCCTTTCCTCTCCCTCAGCTCCTCCAAGCCCTCAAGCCTTTGCACTGCTTCTGAGGAGTGCAGGAAATGCGTTTCTGTATTGTAGTTTAAATGCATTACTCAAAGTTCTGTATTAATATGCCTAGTAAGGAATCTATTTATCAAAAACACATTTCCTGAATCTTTTTTTTTTTGTCTCTATTGTTACAGACATACTTCCTGACAGATATTTTGAAATAAATTACCGAAATAATTGAAACTGGTCTGATTATATTGTGTTATTTTTACAAATAAAATATGTATAATTTTGCAGAATTTTAAAGTACGTGCAGAATTTTTAATTTTTGGCGCACAATTCCCCCAGGAGTAATATATGATGACAAGCAGCAGTATAAAACTATGCTAAGATAAGAAATGATTATACGATTTTAATAACTGCATGTTGATTAGGAAATAATAGTTTTGTCAGTATTGCGATGTCATCTTTAAACAATGCGTAAATGAGATTTCAATATTATGTACACAACAGAAATTGATCTTTTGATATAAAACGGTATTGTAGTTATAATAACGTTAAATGCAAATCTAGTGAGAAAGAGTGATGAGTGTGGTCTAGTGATTATCAGGAGCTGCGAGCTAGGATTTCTGGGGTCAATTATCAACTCCACCCATTGATTCATTCTGGAGCTTTGAGCTAGTCATTTAAATTATGTGCCTCAGTTTCCCCCATGTGATGTGGATAATCACAATTATAATAACTAATAACATTTACCCTATCTCACAAGTGAAGCTTGATGATTATTAATGTACTTGTAAAATGATTTGAGATCCTTATATAAAAGGGGCTATAGTAGCAGTAGTAGTAAAAGTACTGATATTTCTGAAAGAAATACTATTTTCCTTAAGAGTTAAGATTTCATACAGATATTGTAAATCCCACTTATAATGCTCTTATGTAGATTTACTTGTTGAGTTATATTTTTAGGTGCCAGTTTACCTCTCCAATATGTGTATGTGTTAGTAATAGAATTATTCTAAATCCGGGGTGACAGAAGCACTGAATCTAGCTATCAGAATCAAAGTATAGTTCATTATTTGATATCTCAGATATCAGGCTAGATTCTCTTAGGCTGCATTTGCTTCTACCTGCCAGGGTTGAATTCCACCCAGAGGACTGTTCAAATTCCTTGCTGGTGCAGAAATGTGCAATTTAGTCCTCTCTCTGAACCAGCAGAAGCGATTTCAGTCCATTGTCTCAATCAGTGGTAAACTTTCAATCCTACCAGTCAATTTATATTCAGAAGGCTGACCCCACAATGGAAAGGGTTAGAGACACCAGATTTTTAAATGAAAACTTAAATTAGTCTTGGCTTTCAGGGAGTGTAAAAACCAGAGGAAGTGTGGATTCCACATCCATGGTCCCAAAAGCCAGCTATGAGCATTTCTAATTTCTACTTTATTTTATGGAGACTGTTGGGGGAAAGGGATAAAAACAGAATGTTTTTTGTTTCAACATGTTCAAAGCTTTTTTGTATGAAAATGGCAACAGGTTTGGTACTGCATTTTAATACCTGCTCAACAGAAAAAACGGTGCAGAAAAGTAACTTGTACTTCACAAGTTTTAGATAAGCATTCATAGAGAAGTATATTTGGCTTTAATCAAATAATGAAATGCAGAACAATGTGATGTATCTTGACCTTTGAAAGATTAGAAACATCAATTAATAATGTTTGTTCATGAATATCTTTCACCTAGATTAAACTGCCACAGCAACAGGAGGAGATTAGTTGTTCACATTCTAAGTAATTATGAAGAGATACTTTAAATTAAAGTAACTGAAACTGTGATAATTTACACAAGGAAAAAGTCTGAAGAGGATGTGGGGATCATTTTAATTTAATTAATGTAAACGCAGCCCAGAAGGAGTGAAAACAGTAACTGCTGAAGGAATAAAGCTTCATTTTAAGCCATGAACTTCATGACCATTTGTTCAATTGAAGTATGTATATACAGTTCTGTCAGGATACATTTAGCCAGATTCTGATCTCAATTACACTGGTATAAATCTGAAGTAATTCTATTGAAGTTTAACAGAATTACTCCAAATGTGCAGCAGTGTAATTAAGACCAAAATCTGATCCTTGTTTCCTTTTCTTCATAAAAATATGGTACTTTTTAGTGCTCCTGAAAGGAAGGGGTTGATAGCCTTGAAGAACCATGTTTTGTGCAGCGAGGCACCACGTACAAGTGTGATAGTGCTTTTGAGTTGTTTGGGGATTTTGTTTGGAAAATGAAACAAATACAATTGCCATGAAATACAATTACCCATTCTCTCTCCTCAGACAAAAAAAGCTGTACCTGGCACAGTACCCTAACAGTCACAGACTCAGGCTCTGTATAACCTGCAGGAAAGCAAATGTACATATTTCTATTCCCAGTAGACAATTTTGATACTTTCTTCAGACCACTGACATGTCACAACCACAGTAATTATTTAATTGAATACCTAGTGCATGGATAGCATACTTCTGTGAATAAACTGTTACCTAACGATTTCCAATTGCCTGAAAAGTTCTAAATTCTTCAATTGATTTACCTACCTGTCATTCTTTTTCTTCTTGTACTGTCTGAATCACCCATGTTACTATATGTGGAAAACCAAAAAAAAATATTACATGAATTTTGTGCACTTTAACTTCTCTTGTTGATACCACATTTCCCTCTTTTCCCTTTCATTATAGTTTCCTATCCTACTGTAAATAGAAAAAAAATCAATAATTCCATTAGTTGAACAGCAAGAATTAAACAAACCTAACTGGCATATCTACTTTCCCTTTTATCCCTCTCCTAACATTTTCCCAAGACATCATTCAAAAAGTATTCATTCTACATTTGTTTAGTACATATACTCCCTCAAGGTTTCTCAGAAGATAATGCATCCAGTACAAAGTGGCTGAGTTTCATTCCTGTACTGAATATATTCTAAATGCATTCCATTTGACACTATTGACCTAATTTCCTAAACTGCATATGATCAAATGCAAATGGCAAATACTTATTCACTGGCACAAATGCCAAATTACAAATCTTACTGGACATTTACCAATATCTCAGATTTGTAGCTGCAGCTCTGACAAATGTATGTGCAAATTAGGCACATAATTTTGCCATGCATTTGTGGGGTTTACTTACTTTTTAAAATATTTTGTTCTCCTTCCATTGAAGTTAATAGGAGTTTTGCCATTGTTTTCAATGGAAGCAGGATTAACCCCCTAAGTGCAATTACACTCTGAAAAGTGACTATGTGAAAATGGCATTTTCTTTCTCAGCAGATTTGCTCCTCATGTACATTTGCTCCCTGAGAATTGTATCTTTAAAGAGAATGAGAATTGTCGTGAGTTTAAAAATGTTTGATTTCTCATGTTTTACCACTATCAGCCCTGCAGAGTCAACACAACTATGTAAGAGCAAACAGGGTTCCTTTTTGGCTTATGAAACAACAGAATTTTAGCTGGTTCCAACTGTGAAGCAGACACCTATGCAATCCACTGTCTTTCAATTACACATTGAGTCACATCTGTGCAGTCCCCTAAGTCCAAGGCAACAGGGTTGCAGAAGTGTATATGAGAAGAGCACCTGACCAGAAGCATATAGATTACTAGTGAGAGAACACAGCTTGACTTTCAAATCCCAGACTGAGTTTGCTGGGTTGTCAGTTTAAAAAACAACCATAATTGTAAAGTGAGTAAATATGCTATGGGGTCACTGAAGGACACTTCAATGCTGAACTCCATAACGTCATTTTTACAAAGTTGTGTTTCAGAATAGACCAGATTGTAATTAGATAGAATAAATATACATTCCAGCCATGCAATTATCATGGCAGCTAGTGAGATCCCCATGCACATAGGGAAAAATCGCATGTAAAAGTATGCCCAGGAGCAATATATAGAATTGGCTAAAGACCATGCAATATCTGACCCAGACCAGGATAAGATTAAGTTTACCCCACCTAAATTCCACTGGCAAACATACTCTTGTTATTTTTAATTTGAAACTGTATTTATCTTACCGTCCTAATCTCAAGAGGTATATAGTAACCCAGTCTGAAAAGAACTTGTGTTCAGCAAGGTCCTGCAGAGCCCAGAATTCCTAAATGAAAAAATACCGTTAATGATAGGTACACTGCAGGTTGTTACTTATAAATCTGTTCACTTTGTTCATTGCTTGTAAAAAATTCTAGGACATAAGCAGGGCAGGAAGAAGCCACAGTGCTTGGCACTTAACTTTTCTTTGGTGTGCTTGCTTTGTGTTTCATGCTAACCCAGAGAGATGCTACAAGGATATCTGTGCTACCTGTGTCTGAGCTTTGTGTGCCTCAAGTGAGGCCCCATTATAAATCACTTCTTTTACAGAAAATACACAGCTATTTAAAAATATTTGTGAGAGGGAAGGAAAATGAATGGGAAAAGAGGTGGTAGACAAAGAAAATAAGAGAGGAAACAGGGAAGGAAAGGGAGGAGAAAGAAGTCTGATAAAGGAGCAAGATGAGAAAGCAGACTCAGGGCAGCCACAAATCAGGTTTCACAAGCTGGTTAAACTGTGTTTACAGTTGCTTTGCATTGTCTGTGTGGGACAAAAAAAGCCAGCAAAAATGGATAAATATTACAGAAGAAGTCTAAGAGGAAACAGGCACAGATATGCATAAAGAGATACACCACAGTACACGAGAGAAGGAAACGAAGAGTGAAACAAAGAAAGGGACGTGAAAAGAAAGAAAAACAAGGGAGTCAGGGAAAGTAACTGGGTAGAAGGACTGGCTTGAGCAACCAGCTTGTGGATAGGAGGAGAATGTGGAAATCCAGTATTCCTATGTGTGGATATGAGGATAAATGGCTTTAGCGGGAGAAAAGAGATACTCCTAGCTGAGGATACAATGGTGTTAAGTTGCTGTTCTTGCAATATTCCTGCTGGGTTTTGGCATGTGATTATATGTGCATCTGGAGGGAGATATGCGAGTGGTCTACTGATTTGTAAGAACATACCTTGCCACTGGCAAAGCATTCTTGCATAGATAAAACTGTTTTGCATGCATATGAATCTTTTAAACAGCATAAAATTACATCTGGTATTTCAAACAAGGTTTGGGGGATCAGAATTACTGGGTTAACTTATTTTCTACCTTGAACAGAACACTTTCTCCTAGAAAAGCCTAAATTGACATGCTTGAAACAGTTTGTTCAGCTAATCAAACAGCAACAGCCCAAATAAGGGCTGCAGAAGGCCCTCGGCCTGGTGAAGGGGTGTGATTACTACACAAGGAAAGGAATGATCATCCAGCATTAAGGTGTTGGCCTAGGATTTACTGTCACAGATTTCCTAGGTCACCTTGAGCAAGACATTTAATCTCTCTGTCCCTCAGTTAAATGGGGATTATAGCACTTCCCTACCTTACAAGTAGGGGGTGTGAGGATAAACATATTAAAGATTGTGAGACGCTCAGACACTATGGTAATGGGGGGCATATAAGTACCTCAGAGAGACAGACACAGCTAAACTGATTCACCAGCCTGGCTCCTCACAGAAGAGGAGATGCAGTAACCAAGAACACAACTGCAGCCCACAGCTGCTACTGTAGCCTCAGGAGCAACTCCACTGCATGTTTGGGAGGATTCCATCGGCTAAGAGCCAGGGAGAGGTTTTGTCTCTTACAAAGCTATTCTTGCTCTTACGTATATACACTTTTCTTCTCAGTCATCCCTTTGGTATACATGAGTCTCTCCAAAATAGTAGTACTTTGCACATCTACAGCATTTGCCATCTGAGGCTGTCAAAGAGCTTTTCAAATATTAACAAATCAAACCTCAGAGCAACCCACTGAGGCAGGTATCCTCATTTTACAGATGAAGAAACTGAAAAGCAGAGACTTTGGCTAAGATCATCTAAATGTCTGTGACATAGCTGGGAACAGAATCCATATCTCCTGATTTTCACACTCAGCTTTATGCACAAGAGCATTTTGCCTCCCACAAGGATGCATTTGTATATCTGCTAGCCTGTCCTGAGCTGGATTCAGAAGAGAAGCAAAAAGGTCAAAAGATAAAGAGGGTCTATGAGTTTTCTGGACAGGATGAAATGTGCTCCCCACAAAGAAAATAGCCATAGTAATCCTTTGTAAAAAGATGTGTGTTTCCTTCCAGATTTCCATGAGTCCCCTTTGGGGAGTCTATACTGTTTATTAAATTATTACTTGCTAAGCGTCCTCCACACAGTCAACACCTCAGTTAATCCTCCACTGTTGAGGACAGCATTAAATGCAATCTGTATATTTTTCTACCTCATCTTACAGTTGCTAGATTGTTTTTACCTGTTTTATTTTGCTATTTAGCCCTGGAGGTTAGGCTCATTTGAGTTATCTGTGGGATGGGATGGGACTATGGGCTGGGCAGGGGACAGGGACAAAGATGTGTTCCCATGTTCTTAATTTGTGATCAGGGCTAGTCCTAGGCCCACGTTGGGATTGGAGAGGGACCAGATGAGGGATGGGGCCATGGTGGGCCCAGGTTCAAATTAGGGCTGGCGATGGTCCATGGGCCAGTTAGCATTAGGTCTCGGGGCCAGCTAGATGGCCTAAATAAAAACAGAGATTGAGGTCATCTGGGGGGCCACGCTGGGGATGGCTCAGTGGACACGTTAAGGCTAAATCTGAGTGTGACCTGATAAGCCCTACCTAACATTAGGTTTGGTGCCAGCACCAGGGCTAGGCTCAGAGTGAAGACTGGCTAGTAGCTCCAGGCTGGGTGCAGCCTGCTACATTGAAGTCAGGGTTAGGTAAAACCCAGTGGGCCTTGGCTAGGGTTAAGGTTGATGCAGGCAAGTGGGAACAAGATTGGATTGGGGTGGGCCAATGGTCCCAAAGTAGGGTCCAGGCTTAGTACCTATTGGTGGGCCCATGTTAGGTTAAAGTAGGTGCTAATTTGTGGATCTAGACTAGAGTTTTGTTTATTACCAGTTTGTGGAGCTGGGTTGGGGTTAAACACACTAAATATTTCAAAGCCTTTTGGATTTTTAAGTCTGTTACTGCTGTTGTGAAAATGGAATTTCCTGTATTTTGTCTTTGAAATATACCAGATTCCTGAATGCTTTGCTGCCATGGAAACAGATGGTGAAAGGCCTAAAATAGAACAGGCAACTCTAAAGCAACAATTGATTCACAAACTCCATTCTCCTCCTCACTATGAAAAGCAGGTTTTGTGTAAACAATACTTAACTTAAAACAACCTACCTTGTTTCCATCACTTCAACATTAATTTAATACTTGAGAATACTTAGCTCTCTCTGGTGTGTTACATATTCAAAGTTCTGTACAAACATTAATTAATCTAATTAAACTAAAATGAAATTTAATTATATTAGACTGATTTCTATGAAACCCATAGCTACCTCCAAAACTAGCAGAAACCTTGTCAATATTATATATTACCTCAAATTACTATTTTGACTATTGTAAATCTTATGGGGATTTTTATTTGACTTTACATTTTTTTAAAAGAAAAAAATATTAAGTCTGATTCTTAGCTGATGTAAATCAGTGCAGCTCCAGAGAAGACAACAAAGCTATGCCAGTTTATGCTACCTGAGTATCTGATCTATTTTGTTGACTTCCAACCCTGAGACAGAGTGCAAGAAATGCTAATTTCCCCAACTATAGTATGACGTTGCACTCCATATGTTTTATGGAAATATGCTTACGAGTGTAAATATAATGTAACTGGAATATGCTTTATGCAAAAGGTATCTTGTAAGGTATTATTACAAAGCTTATAATCTACTGAGTGTGTTCATCCTAGTTGTATGAATGTATCATTCTTGTATCTGAAGCTAGAAATATGAAGTATTACTCTGAAGTCCTATTGTAACTATGCAAAGTGTGGGCCATTAATGGGGCTTGGAATCTTGATGGCTCCCATTAACCAAGAAAATTGGTTGTAAATGGCTCTGTTTACTTGTAAGCCTCCCTGCATGCGTGAGTAATGAAGCCTTCCAGCCAGTGAGTAATGAAGTCTCACAGGACATGCGAACATGTCACATGATACTGAAATCCATCTTAAACTTGGTGCTTTTCCATTTAGAAGGAAAGGTGGGAACCCAGAGAGAGACAAAGAATTCCTGCCTGTGGCAAAGATATAAAAGGAGGTGGAATAGAACAAAGGGGGCTGTAGTCATGAGAAAACCTCTAGTTACCACCTGAGCTGGAACTAACAAGAACTGTACCAGGGGAAAGGATTGAGCCCAGACTAAGAAGGAGTCTAGTCTGTGAAAGAAGCTTACTGGAACATCTCTGAGGGTGAGATTTACCTGTATTCAGTTTCTTAAATGTATTAGGCTTAGACTTGCGTGTTTTGTTTTATTTTGTTTGGTAACTTACTTTGGTCTGGCTGTTATTACTTGAAACCACTTAAATCCTATTTTTATACTTAATAAAATCACTTTTGTTTATTAATTAACCCAGACTAAGTAATTAATAGCTGGGGGAGCAAACAGCTGTGCATCTCTCTCTCTATCGGTGTTATAGAGAGCAAACAATTTATGAGTCTACCCTGTATAAGCTTTATACAGAGTAAAACGGATTTATTTGGGGTTTGGATCCCATTGGGAACAAGGTGTTTGGGTGCTGGAAATAGGTGACTTGCTAAGCAGTTTTTGGTTAAAGTCTGCAACTGTGGGGGTGTGGACCAGACCTGGGTCTGTGTTGCAGCAAACTAGCGTGTCTGGCTTAACAAGGCAGGGTTCTGGAGTCCCAAGCTGGCAGTGGAAAATGGGCTCAGAGGTAATTCCAGCACATCAGGTGACAGTCCCATCACATATAGTCTATGCATTATAGAATCCAAATACTCCCTTTATCACATTTGCAAAATTAGGTGCCTATGCTGCATGTACACAATATATGTGTGTCGTAGCAGATAACTGCATAATGTAAATGGCTAAATGAACATGCAGTAATCCATTTTGCACAGGAAACTATGTGTTTTGCATGCATAATTACCTGTTTGCACTGATGTGCTCAACTCCCAATGAAGCTCACAGGAAGCACTCAAAACGTTTAAGGATTGGGACCATATTTTGCATACACAACTTAGTTACTTTTGAAA